TTCAAAACAGTCAAACAGAGAGCCACATACACATACCATGAAAAATCATGAAGTGCAGGTAGAATCAACACAGAAAAAGAGCTCACTGATTGTGCCCACCAAAGTAGCAGATCTTCCCTGCGGGCCTATGAACTAGCAATGGCCCCCATGACTACCATAATCTTAGGGCCAGATAGTTTCATATATGGCCAAATGTAAGGCCAGGCAGTGCTCATTGTTGATAATTTTTTGCACATAACGTATACTGTCAATGTACTGTTTCAGTCATAGGATCAAACAGTATTTTATATTTTTGAAACAATTTCTTCACATTTGTACAACTAAATTAGGTATTCTAAGAATATTCTCAGATATTTTAAAAAGTGCCATGCTCCTTCAGAGCAGTTCCTCAATTTGCATCCATGCAGAAAAGGAAATCAGTAGATGAAATAATTCCTCTTAGGAAAATAATATACATCACTTAATGTATTCTCCTGATGAACAACTGTGTGAAATCAGAATAGACTTGAATATCATATTTACAAAATTAAAATAATGTGGTTTACCTGCAGGTTAATGCCACCACAAAAACGAAAAACTGTTACTATCCAGCAGTATCCCCAAACAGCATGTATTCACTTTCCAAAACAAAATCGAGTTAATTCAAGGTTTGTTCCAGTTTCGTACACTGGCTTGGAAAATGATTCTACACAAGCAAAAGCAGCAGAATTTTCTTCTAAGTAAACTGATAGATTAACTGGGAATCTGGAAAGCTTGTATAACTTTTTACAAATGGAACTGTCATTCAGCTGCTCAAAATTTGAAGGACAACAAGTTTCCTAAAAACATGTTGATGGAAATAATACTCTGCATCGGAGGTGGAACATGTGGCCCTAAACGTTACTGGACTATGAATTCTACCACTCTTATCACTGGCCAGCTGCTTGAAACAGATCAGTGTTGAATCCACCAACATCTAGAAAGCCATACGTTTTACTCTCCTTTCCTCATATGCACCTTGAAAACAAAATCAGAGAATTCAATTCAATCTCTGTTCTTTCTAATTTGAGCACAACATAATATATGAGTCCATTATGGCTCCAGTTTACACTGATCAGCCACAACATTAAAACCACCTGCCTAATATCATGTAGGTCCCCCTCACACTGCCAAAACAACTTTGAGGCATGGACTTCACAAGAACTCTGAACATGTGTCCTGTGTTATCTGGCACTAAGACATTAGCAGTAGATCCTTTAAGTCCTGCAAGTTGCAAGGTAGGGGTTCCATGGATCAGATTTCCAGCACATCCCATAAATGCTTGATCTGATTGGAACCTGGGGAATGTGGAGACCAAGCCAACATCTTGAACTCTTTGTCATATTCCTAAAACCATTCCTGAACAATTTTTGCAGTGTGGCAGGGTGCATTATCCTGCTGAAAGAGGCCAGTGCTATCAGAGAACACCATTGCCATAAAGGGACATATGTGGTCTGCAAGTCTCTAAGTAGGTGGTACTGTGACAAAGTAACATTCACACGAATGCTACAACCAAAGGTTTCCCAACAAAACATTGCTCAGAGCGTAACACTGCCTCCACCAGTCTGCCTTCTTCCCACAGTGCATTCTGCTGCCATTTCTTCCCCAGGTAAATAATGCACATACACCCGGCCATCCACCTGATCTAAAACATGATTCATCAGACCAGCCAACCTTCTTCCATTGATCCATAGTCCAGTTCTGACATTCAGATCCCCACTGTAGGCACTTTTGGCAATGGACAGGAGTCATCATGATCACTCTGATGGGTCTGTGGCTACAAAGCCCCATACGCAGCAAACTATGATGCCCAATGAGTTCTGATACCTTTCTATCATGGCTAACATTAAGGATTTCAGCTATAGTAGTTTTTCTGTGTGATTAGACCACACAGGTTAGCCTTCGCTCCCCACATGCATCAATGAGCTTTAGGTGCCTGCAACTCTGACGCCGGTTCACTGGTTGTCCTTCCTTGCGCCACTTTTGGTAGGTACCATGTTTCCCCGAAAATAAGACAGGGTCTTATATTAATTTTTGCTCCAAAAATGTATTAAGGCTTATTTTCAGGGGATGTTTTATTTTACAGTCATGTCATCATCTTCTGGTTGCTGTACAATGGTGGAGGGCAGGGTTTCACTTAACTAGGGCTTATTTTTTGGGGTAGGGCTTATATTATGAGCATCCTGAAAAAACATACTAGGGCATATTTTCAGGTTAAGTCTTATTTTCAGGGAAATAGGGTACTAACCACTGCATAGCAGGAACAACCCATAAGACTTGCATTTTGGAGATCTTCTGACCCAGTCATCTAGCCATCACCACCTAGCTGTGTCAAAGTCACTCAGATCTTTTTGCTTGCCCATATTTCTTGCTTCTAGCACATGAAATTCAAGAACTGACTGTTCACTTGTTGCCTAAATTATTCCACCCTTGAAAGGTACCACTGTAACAATATAATCACTGCTATTCACTTCACCTATCAGTGGTTTTAATGTTGTGGCTGATCAGTGTATATAGCAAATGAGACACAGTGTAGGTGTGGGGAAATGCATGCTGCAGAAGACACTGTAATCTACAATAAGAGTGTTTAATGTCTAGACGGACAACAAAACAGAAGTCTATTCGTTTCAAAGGCACTCCTCTCTACAAATATGAACATCTGCATATAAAATAAAGAAAACTTTACAATGTTGAAAAAAAATCAAACCTTGTGTATCTCTGTTCAAAATTAAGTCACATTAGTTACATGGGGTTTAGTCCTGGGTTGGCACAGGGCTGCAGCTTTAATCAATGACTTATATTTGTCTTCACTGACTTAAATTGATTTTAATCACTGATTCAACCGGCTTTGTTCTAAAAATCAATCCACTATCATCCAAATATATGGCTACTGCACCTCACTTTTCAAGAAAACATCTTACAATTCTGTAGTAAAGAAACAAATTGCTTTAATAAAGGGCACACTTGATCATCTTCACTCATGAGTTACTAAGAGCCAACAATAAACTAAAGTTCTTCTTTAGATGATTCATCAGTTTACCAACAGACCTATATGATTTTTACGTCTTCAGAATGGGAAAAACATCCCTGGATATTGTGCAACACAAAGGTAGTAAATTCAAACTATATTTAACATAAGTTTTACCTGCATATAAACAAAAGCAGGACCCATGATAACATGTTGCTTGGACTAACGAGAGAATGTTGTGTCCCAGACAACACTTCACTACTGCCTTTCTTCCCCCTCTCCAAATGTCTGTCTATTCCAGGTTCCCTCTTCCTCATGCCTCTCCTTTCAGCCTCTATCCTCCTGCACAGCCCTTCATTTCCCCTCTATTGCTCATTCTCAGGCTTTCCTCTAGCAAACTGGCTTTCTTCCTCCTTCTCTTCTTTGCTGCTTTTATTCCTAATCCATGACATTTCTCCTGTATCCATTCTCCATCTTCTGTCTCTCTTCCCTGCTCCCATTATCTTTCCTGCCTACTCTCTGCATTTCCTATCGATTCATTTAACTTTCTCTCTCCCTACTCATCTCTTGCTCTCCAACTGATGTCTTTCCTCTTTTGTACTTTCCCATCTTTTCCATTATACTGTTTTAATAGTTCATAAGCCCCCAAGATACACCATGGGGAGAAAGGCAGACTATTAAATAAATTAATAAATTTCTGTTTTAGTAGCACCTCAGTTCTTGCTCCCTCCTCATCTTTTCATACAATTTCATGCATAAGTCTTATTCCACTTTTCAAGGGTTATGTATCCCACACCACGGTTCTATGATATTTTATCTGCAAACCTCAGGATTTATCTCACCATGCAGGAACCTTCCTCGTGTTACCCAGTGCCCTGTTTTGACTACAAAGCTGTTTACATGTGAGGACTGAGTTCAGCATAGTTATTATATGCAATCGGAAACCAAATTAATATGAAGTTACGTATTAAAGAATGAGGGAACAATCTTTATGTGGTGTTGAGTTTTATTTTATTTTCATAGGTGATCCCCTGAATCTAGTCAGTGTCTAGCAACATCAGGTCTGACTAATCAATGGTCTGACTTGGTATAAGGTAGTTTCCCAAGATCATAAAAACCTACCCAGAGGTTATTAGTTAGTTGCTTACACCTTAACATATTACATTTCAGAATCATCAAATGCATCTTTTTAAACAAAGCAGATAATAATTGCAATTCCATGCTCAAATGATAATCAAAAATGTAAGCCAGTACTTCATATCACAGCTGACCTTCATGTTTTGTGCCATTTTAACATAATAAACATCCCTTTCCTTAAAATGCCATGAATCATATTTAACATTTTTCAGCTGTAGATAACAGTATAACTCTATACACACCCATCCACAAATCAGTGCAACGGAATTTATTCTCAGATAACTGCAGCTTAGGCCTCTTAGAGTAATTCACAGTATTAAATCTTAATTATAAAGGCATTTGAAAGACATTCAATCTGTATTAACTGAAAAAAATGCTGTATAAAACGAAGACACATTAGATTGTAGAGCTATTTCATGGGTTAGAAACCAAAATAAATATCTTACTTGAAGTCATATTTTAACATTACTTATGATGATGGAAACACAATTATGAAAACACTGTTCTGGCACAAAGGTGTGCTGTGTTATGAAAGCACAGTATGTAATTTTATTGTTGAGTTAATCACAGTGGTAGTGGCAAACTCATAAGGATATAAGGTGAGAATTTTAGGGTTCTCTTAAGCTGCTGCAAGACAGAATTTGAGCAAAACAAGCTGCAGAACTTGTTGATCAGGTAACAATCCATTTATTATGTTTTAAGTCCCAATTTGACATCAGGTGAAATTGTTCAAAAAGAAATTAAAATGTAACAAAACCTTTTTTTATTTCCTCAAACTGCATTCTCAATAAGCCATATCACTGCACTATAATTTCAAAAAGCCTACAAGAAAACAGCTTTTGTAAGCATTTGAATATAAGCTGAGTTCTTCATTTACCTTCTGTAACTGCTGCTAAAGCCTTTACCTCGTGGTGAAGGGCCATGTACGAATCTACATGTGTTCCCATAGGGGCAGTTGCCAGTCTTCAGCCAGTTACGGCACTGTGTCTAAGAGACAGACATTACTGGGTGAATTTCAAACTAATTTTGAAAGTACTGTTTGAGTGAATAGTCACAGCACAAATAATTCCACAGATTATTCCCTCCCAATACTAATTTAATGCAAACTGACAGTCTTAGATCCAACAATGCTCCTTGCAGAGTTTGGATAACACAAGCCATTTCAGAATATACTTTCATAAATAATTACTCTCTCTTCTCCTTCCTTGATCAAGCTAGAGCCAAGTCTTCCATTACCTTGATGTACAATGCATGTGTGCTATCTAAGATGTGATTAATTATTTTAATGTCCTTTTTTAAATCACTAGGCATGGGATGTTTGGATTTTTTTTCACTACAACTACCATTCAGCAGAAATTCCAGCAGCTAGAATTCTGGTAGTTTTAGCCAAAAAATCCAAGGTCTCAGAGGAGTTTCAGGATTCTCACCTGTTCCTTGCAAAGGCTCTCTCTGCAAATAAACATTAAAGCATAAGCATGGGTGGACTTTTCTAAGCTCCACTGGAACAGCAAAGCATTAGGGGGATTGACATTTCTTTTTACAGATGCACCTATAAGGGGTGTTTCTCAAAAAAAAACCTACCATGTTTTTTGCTGCTCCCATGGAGCTTAGAAAGCTCCACCCATGTCCCTCCTTTAAAGGGAGTCTGCAGATAGAGACTTGGCAAGGAACAGATGAGGATCCTAAAACTCCTCCAAGAGCTTGGATTTTTTGGCTCGAACTACCAAAATTCTAGCTGGTGGAATTTCTGCTGAATTGTGGTAGCTGTAATGGGGGGAAAATCTGAGAATTCCATGCCTACTGATCAGCAGTCATATAACTACACATTTGAAGGAAAAAGCACTTAATTCAACCACATACATATCACAGCTCAAAGTATGGACATGTTTTATTATAGCACTTAGATTAGTGAGACAGAACTGGAAGAAAAATCACAGAAGATCATATGTTGTGCTCAATAGAAGACTCCTTCACACATTAATTCCCTAAAGATTAACACATGTAATCCACATTCATCTGGGTCATATGCCAAGACCAAGAAGATACTCTTCAACAATGGTATCTGAAAAAAAGCAGTGTCTAGATGGCTCCAACTATAAAGCTAAGCTACAATGGTTCAAGGCAAAACAAAAAGAAAAATACTACTGCATCAAGTCATTAATCCACATGACCTGGAAAAAATCCTTTTCCCCCAAAATAGGATTATCACATAATGAATACAAAAGTTATCTACAAATTCCCCAAGAGGAAGTTACTTTGTAAGCCAATTCTGATATAATGTTCCTGACCTTTTCTATTAAGCCAGGGACATGTATTAGGCCCCTAGTTTTCCTTTCACCTCCTCCTCCTGCATGAAACCCTTCCAGACTAACAACTTTCTGTACCAGATTGAGCAGAGAAAGATTTCATGTAGTTACTGAAATACCATGAAACCAAAGAAGATACAGTATTTAATTGCTAGATACCCAGAAACAGTCCTGCACTCCTCATGAAGCAAGAGCTAAAACTGAGTTTGGTTTCTTGACGCTGCCAAGAAGGTAATCCTATTCTGCTTCAGTTTCAGAACAGGTAGCCATGTTAGCCTTTGCTATCTGAGGAAGTAGTCCACAAAAGCTCACATTAAAATACAGCAAGTAGTCTTTAAGGAGCCACAACGTTTTTGTCCTCTTTATTTTAAATTTTCCTTTTGTTTTTGCCTGATATCCTATTCTGTTGGTTACATAACTCTCTTGCATAAAAATAGAAAACTGCCTCCCCATTCTATGTGTCCAGCAAGTGCTACATTAAAAACAAATAATGCATTCCAACTCACCTCTGCAGTACTTCCAGTGCTGGGTCCAAGTCTTTCAAACACACTGGGTCTTCTGGATGTGCTATCGGATATGGTCTTGGTATTTTCCACTGTGACCTTCCTTCTAATTTTTGACATTTTGTACTACTTCAACCAAAAAAAAAGGCAACACTGTAAAATTCTCAAGTTGAGCTACTACAACTGAACTCATAGGAAAAATAAGTTATTATATTAACCTTTAGGAACTCCCCAAAAAATAATAACATAACATATACAGGACTATGTCTAAAAGGGTCATTTTAAATTTATTTCATAATTGTAAGAATTCCACCTTCTATGCCCTGTTTTGGTTTCCTCATCCATTTTTGGCTATTATATCAAGTAGAAATACCTAAGTAGACTTAAGAGTCTTCTTTTTCTTTCCTTCAGAATAGCAAGTGCAAGTACAGTACTTCATTTACTATGAATTTAGTAAATCTGAACTATATTCAATGGTTGCACAAATGAAGTCAGCTCATGCAGCAATCACTCTTTTTTCTTCCCCAACTTACTAGAATCCCAAATAGCCCCTGAAAGTCCTCCCCTCATGAGAGTGGAGTCCTAAACCAATGGGGCTGTCTTCTATTGGTCTGGTTGTATGAGCTGCTTTACACTCACACAAACAGAGGAAGTAACTTCAGCATACTAAATGCTACAGTATGTCAATAATTCTGTAAAACACCACGAACATTGGTAACATAAGCTATGCTTCTGGTGTATAATGTTGCATGCTCTCTTCCAGAGATAATGCTATGGAAATCAATTTAGCTAACCTCTGAGTTAAATGATCCATTGCCAGCAATTCAGTGAGTAAGTATTGGGACAGTGTCTGATCCCAGTCAATCACACAAACATGAACCTTACAGAATTTCAGCTCAGATATATCCCATGAATACTGCACAGCACCCATGAGAGATTAATGGGGTTTGAACTGCTGTTCCACGGAACTTAGCCTTTCTCCTGCTGGAAATATTTTTGATTTATGTAACCTGTGCTAACTGGAATTTGTGAAATTCTCTGTCAATTTTTATATCCAGGTCCCTGCTAAACCTATTAAATGTTCCAAAGAAAATATGTTTATTTCACAGTTCAAGACAATGTCCTGCAAATGCATTCAATCCTCATTAAGCCTGCCTAATTCAGCATGCCAGTTTATAGGATGATAAGTCTTCAGAGGAACTTTCCTTTTCTTTCATAACCTTAAATACATCATATGAGAAACCCATCTGTCTTATCTATGGGAAATCATAAGCCATAGAAGAGGACAATAGAACCAAACAATATCTTAGAATGAAAACTCTGTAACACAAGCGTATGAACAAGACCGCATAGCAACTTTGAAAGTTGGTTTACAAACAAACACATTTGTCCAAAGAAGCAAAAGGGAGAAACCATAAAAATCCTGGTCCAAGATATTCTTTGCTGGGAGAAAGGGAAATTGGTACACAGTGAAATATGCTAGTGTTCCTACTGTTAAATGTTTCACTTTTGTAAAAAGAATGTTTGAATCCAACATCACACCACAGATAGACACTGAAGGATTTTACAAAACTGGGAGTTCACTTCTGTCCATTTCTGGTCACATTTTGGGAAAGGGCTGCCAGACAGTCCGCAGTGAAACCTGAGAAGTGGAAGCTAGTTTTAGGCCCTATAGAGCTTGGATACCCCAATGGAGTTCAGTGTAGGTCCTCGCCAAGAGACCTTTACAAATAAAGTCATCTTTTCATAGGAAATGAGTTCCAAAGTGTATGACCACCCTTACCCATAGGATGATAACACCAGAATCCTGAAAATATGCTAATTTGTTTAGAGTGGAAGGAATCAAAATAAAGGTGTTCTTTTAGCCAGTTACGAAATGAAGACTGGAAGACTAAATAACTGCCAAGATATTAAAATGGTAAGAAAAATAAAATACTTAAAATGCGATATGTTGTGACCTGTCAATAAGAGCAACTGTCTCAGTAAGAATATCTACTATATGGGCATTCCTTATATCACATATATAATTTCATGCTATTTTAAGCAAAACCTCCTAAAGACTGCATCCAATGCAACATTTACAAAAAGGAAGTTAACTATACTTTCTGCATTCCACCCTAATCAATGCTTTCCTCCCTAGCAGTACTCCTTATATAATGTGAGCTGAGTAAGAAAGGATACTTTTTGTCAATAGGGCTCCAGATGGAAATGATGACATTTCAGTGCCCTTCAATCCTCTTAGCACAGTGGTTGTTTTGTCAATAGGGCTCCAGATGGAAATGACATTTCAGTGCCCTTCAATCCTCATAGCACAGTGGTTAAAATGCTATACTGCAGCCAAAACTCTGCTCATGACCCAGGGTTCAATCCCAGGTAGCCGGCTCAACGATGACTCAGCCTCCTATCCTTCTGAGGCTGGTAAAATGAGTACACAGCTTGCCCAAGGGGGGGGGGGATGTGTAGCCTGCATAATTAACTAGTAAACCGCCCAGAGAGGGCTTTAAGTGCTATGGGGCAGTATATAAGCAGCACACTTTGCTTTTTTCAATCACTCAACATTTTACTGATGCACCAGATACAGTACTTACAATTATTATCTTCTACATGATTGGGGCAAATTCATATACATGGGGGCTAGGAAGCAGCACAATGTCCCCCATGCTGTTCTCTTCAGCCAGGAAATAGAAGTACAGAACAGCAAAGTCATGTGGAATGACTCTAGGGTGCTTATGTTGCCCTGACTGAAGCAAAGTAATTGTAACTGAGAAGGAAGTGCAGTTGGGATTTAGTCTTCAAAAGTACATGTTCTCCTGAAATGCACACCAACTTTCATTCTACCGCCATAACATTTAACAGAGACATCTCGCTAGGACATTCAAGTCACCCCAGTTCAGGCTATTCTGACATACAAAAGCATTTTAGTCACATGGACGTGTATCAATCAAACTAGGAAATCTCTAATTCACAACAGTTTCCTTTTATCAATAAAATGGGAAATTATTTGTGAAATTGTTTTCAAGTTGCTACTGCTGAAATGAGACAGGATCTTAATCTACAATTTGAACTTTGCCCAATAAACAGATTATGACTTCTTTCAAAGCAGTCAACAACAGTTTCCCTATTAGGACAAAATAGAAAGTGACAGCTAATTAACCATATTCTGGTATAATGAGTGTCTGCATAAAAGTACTCTGCATACAGGTGAAAGGTTTACGCCTATCTCAGGTTAATAAACGGAGATCACAATCGCATATACTACACTACTCTATACTTCTTTACATCTTTCTTATTGTCACTGATAATTTCCGTTTCAAACTGGATATGAACTGTATAGACTTGTGCTATCTAGATATCTACCAAATTTCACTCAAGTCAATGTTGCAAAATAATATTTGCAAAATTACTGTGTTATCAGGTAAAGTCAAATAATCATATTAAATGTTAAGATGGAAAAAATAACTGAATTAAATTGTTTGACCATTAAAAAAACTAAGAACCTATAAAAAGATATTAAGTACACTGTAAGCAAAATCTACCAGCACAGCAGCAGATTTCCACATGTGCAATGGGACTCTCTTCTCCCTTACTATGGGCAAACCTCTAAATCTACTGGAGAAGTTGCAGGATGAATACCCACATGGCTGAAGCCATTCCAAGAGGAGTCAATTAAATAACAGCCTATGTATGATTTATATGTGAAGTTTAAACAACATAAAAGCCTTATTTGCAAATGATTTCAATGCAAATGTTTTAAGAAATGAAAACTCAATAGCATACACTTCTTTTACATTATTTAGACCCAATGAGGGAAATCTGAAGGCACTACAAATATTAACATACCAAACTGAGCATGATTTAAAACTGACTACTTAACTATCTTTATTTCAGGACCATTATGCAGTAATACCTCAAGAATCTGCTCCTGTAAATTCTTTCTTCCTGAAATTTGGGAAAAGAAGGGAATGTCGTCTAATTTGGTGCTCTGCACAGACATTTTCCAGTATCATAAAATTCTAAAAAATATGTGCAAATCAAGCCTATGCACATTATTAGCTGTGGTACAAATGCCTTAACCAGTACTAAAGCCAAAAGTAAAATTTTGATGTCATTCAGCCAAATGTTACAAATACAAAAAATAGTTGGAAGCTTTCTCCAATACATATTGGGGACCATTCGATGTTTGATGATGGGACAACAGAATGAAGCAGGAATCTTCCCTTCCTGCAGCAGCTTCCTGAGCATTCCAAAGCCTACTATGGAAGTTGGAAAACCGTCTGAAGCTACTTTTTGGCTCTGAGGATTGAAGAAGTGAGGGAAGAGAAGAAAATTCCATTGTGCTAGTGCAGTATCATCATTTAATTTGGACCTTGATTTGCCACCAACACTGGATCAAGCCTTTAAGTGGAATCACTTGCCATTCTTTACTTCAGGCTGTCTTCTTGATCTGTCACTACTTCGACAGGCCAGGCAGTTTATTTATGTGTATACTGCGCATCACTGAATAATAGAAGTATCCAAGCAATGGGATTTTAGCCATAAACAACATATAGAAATATTTATAGCATATAAATTAAATGGAGATAAAAATTTGGTTTGGAAACCAGAACAAGAGGAAGTCTTCAGCTGTCACCTTCAGATGGCATTAAAGCAGGTGCTAGGCAGGCTTCACTGGGAAGCTGATCCTGGAACTGGAAAATCACCTAACACACAACACCAGACCCAGTGCCACCACTGCTTACTCTTTTGCTCCTTTTGACTAACATTCCACACATGACCATATATATTCTGCAGCAATCTCAGCAAGCAGTTGTTGGGATGCTGTCATTTTTAAGGTGAGCTAATTTACTGATCATCTTCCAGTAGTCTGGAGCACAAATATCACAGCAAAAAAGTCATGTAGATTTTTCAAACAAATATTAAAAGACTTAAAATATTTCTTTCTTATGGAGATCCAAAATTTGGTGGCCATAATACAAAATATGTATTAGGCCTGCCAAATACAATGTGCTGCAAGGATTAAAAAAATACTTAGACATGACTGATTCATAGGACTACTGAAACTACTGCAACATACCCATAAATGCCCATCTGATTTTGTACATGCATATTCTCAAGTTCCTTTAAAGTTGACATCTGTATACATTTGTGTGAAACATGGAATACAAAAGGTAGCCAAAAGTGTTCAAAAGCACTTTTACATTACAAAACTAGACTCAATTTGGGATGCATATGGCTCGACATATGCTAATTAAAAGGGGCATAAATTATATTCATGAAATGTCAAGATATACACTTTCATTTTGATACAAATGCCTCAAGACAATGATTTGTAACACAACCAGGAAGTGAGAAATGTGTACACCTCACCCTAAAAACAGAAGATATGGCAATAATACCCTAACACAGCAGTATAGCATTACGGTGAGTGTGCCAGACGAAGACATGGGAGACGACATTGAGTGTCCCCCTCACCAACCTGGCCATGAAGCCCACTTACATTACCTCAAGATAATCACTGTCTCTGAAGATAAACTACATCACAAGACCGTTGTGAGGAAGAGGAGGAGCCAAGTGCCCCTTATACACAATCTGAAGATAAGGGTAAGTAACATTTCATTAGACCACTGAGAAATAACAAACACAAGCTACCTTCTGACCCTGTATGAGTCTTCCTCAACTGAACGCCACAAAACTGGTGGTGATGCAGAAGAAACACCACAGCCAAATGTAGTGGCTAGGCTTCTCTGTTTAGAGCAAGTATAAGATGGGGACTGCAGACTCAGGACAGGATTGCAGATTGCAGATTTCACCTCTACTGATGTGGAGTGGGAAGTCTTCTTCTGCAGCATTCCAAGCTTTGTTATACTGAGCCCAATGAAGACTCACATGGGTTGAAAGCTACCTCATGTTCCTTCTTCTTTTTTTAGTAGTCTAATGAAGGTACCACTTACCCAAGATTCCCTCTAAAGTGTGTGCCTGCATGTGTAACTCCACCCATCTTTCCTCCTCCTCTGTGCACTGGCAGCGATCATTTTTAGCCCCATTGATTCTGGTAGCAATAGAACCCTGTGTGAGGGGCAGAGTCCCACTCTGCGGGGCCAAAAACTTGAGGGAACATTGAACGCATCCTTGCCTTTGGCCAGGATTGTTGAGTGGGTGATACTGGGGGAGCCACAGATTCTACCGAAAAAAATTTAGAGGAAAAGTGGGATATAAATGAAGTGAATAAACATCCTATGACAATGATATACCGACCATGGCCTTTTGCCCTGTCTTAACAGAAACTAATCTTTCTCTGCCCGAAAAATATTTTAACACAAAGCACACTGCTGTGGATTAATTCAGTTTACAATTCATGTTCAAACTGTGACTGGATAAAGTACAGCTCTCAAGCCTCCGATTAAAAATAAGAGTGGGGCAAATTTTATTTTCTGGAGTAACTATATCACTATAAAAGCGGGGAAAGCACCCTCTCCACAAACTCCCCAAAGGCATTCCAACTCCCCAAAACAAAACTAGATGATGAGTTCCAGAAACTGCAAGTTGCTGGGATTTTTCCCCATTTCCAAAACTGGAGTGGCCCATGGTGGGTTCCAGGGCTGAAAACTAACCTCTAAAACCTCTAAAATTGCCCAACTACCCCAGAGCAAAGATTAACAAATCAAGCTCAAGGTTACAAAGAACACATAAACTGCATCTGACTCTTATTTTTAAAAAATCCTGAAAAAATTATACATGTAAATAGGAGAGTAGCTAATGATACAAATAATGTAGTATTCTAATCTTCCCTCTGAAGAATATTTGCAAAAAATGTTCCCCTTTATATCCTGTTCTCCCACCCTCTTTTGCCACAAAGGATTGCTTGTTTTGAAACATGAGACATGACTGCTGAAAACCAAAAACCTATACAAAATTTTGCAGCTAATGACGTGTTCACCATTAGTATTTAGAAGTCTCTGAGGACCTGTATGCCAGACATTTAGGCAAATACCGAATGGCATTTTCACATAAATTGACATCCATCATTTTTTTAAAAAGCTTAAATGGGTTTAACAGACACTTCCTTTTGTGAATGAATCCTCAGTTGGATCCAGCTAATATAATCATTTTGGATATAGAGGTTTCCCCACATATGACTTATTAAGAATTGCAGTGACACCCTGTGCATGCATCCAAGTGCAGGTGCCACCTATTTTCACCACATAACTTTTCAACAGTATGCCCCCAGATACACCTTTGTTCAAATCTGACAGAAAGAACCAAACAAAATAGAAGTATAATAAAAGTTGATTCATGGCACTGGTTTTCTGAACAATTGTACATAGTGATCTAACAATTCTGAACACTTTCAATAAATAAATTTCCTTTCCTTGAACTCTTTTGGTGAGGCATAACATTTAAAACATCAATTAACTTTGAAATCTGATATGCCCCCAAACACCTCTCCTTTGAGAGTTCAGGCAGAGCATGGGACCAAAGGCTTGAAGACAATTCAAAATTCTGGGTACTACAGCAGTACCAAGTTTTTAAGACATTGGTTAATTAAATGCATATATTTTACTTCCTCCACAGAACATGGAGACACTATTACACTTATTTCCTTCCATTCCAGAACCAAAGCAATCTCTCCCAATTTCTGAATTTAAAATGAAACCTCACACTTTCTAGTTCATTCGTTTGAATAAGCTTAAGGGAATAAATTAATCTTTCACCACCCTTTCATGTTTATAGATATCAAAAGGTAAGTTGCTGGCTCAGATTCTCTTGAGTGTGTACACTTGGAATATTATTCAAATGAACAGTAATGAAGATTTTTGGCTTCAATATTGAAGCAGACCATTTGAACCTGTTTGTATCGTCCTAGCTTCAAAACCAAGATTAATTCAGGTGATTAATGGGATAATTAGCCAGATTTCTTTTAAAAAAGCAATGACAGCCACTTTACAAGCCTCAGTGATGGGTATTAGTGTAGAACAAGCTACCAAAGCTTTCCACCAATAGATCAAGACTGCAATAATTACCTTGAAACAAGTTCTATTGATCTAAAAGGGACTTACAGATTATTACACTAGAATCCTGTGATTTTTCTGCAAACCATCTTTCTGAATAGATTTTCCAAGCAAACATGCACACATGTGCATTTTATTTAACAATTAACATTTATCTTTAGTTTTGATTATATTGCCAGCACTGCAAATCTATATCTATTTACACAACAGTAAGTAGTACTGAACAAAAATTGGTCTACTGTACTCTAATCTGATGACAGACACTAGCAATAGATGTCTTTTCAACTGAAGATAGGGCATACCTAACAAATACGCAGAAGGAATATTTACAGCTTAGTTTTGTCAAATTGAAAAAAAAACAGACCCCACTGCACCTTTCTTGATAGAATCAGGCTGCAAGCTTTCATCAAATTTAGATAAATCTATCCTAACGCATTCAGGTTAAAGTGATTTATAGAGCTGCTCAATCTGGAAAGTATCAGATTTTAGGGTGCAACCAGACCTTGCTCAGACCGAGCTCCACATGCACTTTCAGATACACTGAAGAACGGAATGAGATTTTAACCCACTGCACCTTTCTTGATAGAATCAGGCTGCAAGCTTTCATCAAATTTAGATAAATCTATCCTAACGCATTCAGGTTAAAGTGATTTATAGAGCTGCTCAATCTGGAAAGTATCAGATTTTAGGGTGCAACCAGACCTTGCTCAGACCGAGCTCCACATGCACTTTCAGATACACTGAAGAACGGAATGAGATTTTAAAAAAAATTTATTCAATCTTTTATTTATTT